ACACAAACAGAAGTATACAGGAAAGCGGAAGTAACGAAATAATACGTCGAATAGCAATTGTAGTAGTGAATAATGAAATTTTCTAGTATACCATACCTCGAGGACGCGTAAACATTGTACTGTTTATCGTATGTATGCAACATGCAAAAGCAAAATATATGTGTTGATGTGTAATAATTGTGCGTTATATTTCTTATTATTTATCCTTTTTAGTCTTTTAGGAATACCGCTATATATGTAATACATTAATTATTTAAAAATAACGCTCAGATATTCGTAATTTTGGATATCTGAAATTAAATTCGGATTAAATCGAATTGAAATGGATTGGAATTCTGAAAATTTATATATTTAAAGATATTGATTCGAATCGGAATTTAAAAAGTTTTCTAATTCTATAAATATCATGCTTTTGATCATTTTATTATATTGTAAAAATATTTTAGCAATCTTTCTATTTTACAAATGATATAAAGGATCAACGAGATACATAAAACTTATAAATTTTTATTTGAAAAAAAGTTTAATTATACGAAGAAAATTATGCAACAGCAGAAATTGAACTAATATTATTGAATTAATATTATTAGTTCATTTCTAAAATTCATTGAAATTCTAGAAATATAATTGAATCGAACGTTCGATAGGACAAAACATTAAAGCAAACTTAATTAATTAAATATAAATCGGAATTTTTAAAATCAACAGTACTTAATCCTTGTCCCGTGTCATACGCCACTTTCTCTCGGGCCTAAGCGGAGGAATCGTAAGTTCCGGTACGGTTGAACGATCTCTGCGCAAAATTGACGCGGTATCGAGCGTATTGATCGGTTCCACCGTCAAAAGTGCATGCAACGTTGTAGCCCGGTCACAGAGAACAGTCGATGAGAAGCCCTCCGCAGGTTTCGCAGGCAGGCAACACTTGCTGAACTTTGAAAATCAATGCCAATGTTCAGCTGGTGCGATAGCTGGGCCAAAAAGAGAGAAGAAGGCTCCCTATTGGGACAGGAAGAAAAGAGATAGAAAGAAAGCGGTAAAAGCATATTGATCTGTCTCTTCCAGACG